GACAGTGTTATATCAAGGTAGAGGTGTACCTGTAAACAAGAAAACTCAGATTATGGCCCTCCAGGAAAGGGAGGTGCGAAAACAAGTCAAGCCTGAAAATAAGAGGGAACAGGTTAACCCTAAGTATTCCTTTTGTGTGTGTGTGTGGCTAAAATCTGAAGACACATACAAAAGGAGTCTGCTTACATGCACAACACCCCTACCTTGTAATTCACCAAAACCCCATGGATATAATTAAATTAAAGCCTATGCAAAGATTTCAAAACGGTAATGAACACACTGGCCTCAAAGACAAATTGTCTAAATAAAAGGCTTGGTATAACAAGATAATTATAAACACCCACTGGTAATAGATTTGATGCTAATATTATTGTTCGTTCATATGGAAATAATGCTTCTCACCTATTACCTGTGAATAAACTTAAAGCTAGGCATAGCAGAGAAACCATTACAAATGTGGTCTGTTATACAAGAGGGGAAACTGAGGTACATCACCTCATGAATTTCATAAATGAACAGTGGGATAATTCACTGGCCTGCCTATTGTACAAAATAAGGACAGTGGGGAGGTAATTCATCTGTTTTTCCTGCAATTAGCAAGGAGATTTGTAAAAGGCAATAATCTGTCCCCACCAGGGGGCTGGGAAATGTTTCTTTTGTTTTTTCAGACACTCTACAAGCAAACTGGCACCAGAGGAAAAATAACCCAGAGCACCGGGGGTCTCCAGTTGCAACGAAGATTGTGTTGTGTGTTTCTGTGGTTTCTCTTGCTATTATTATTATTTTGGTGGATACTGTACAAGGAGGGTTAACACATATAGAAGCAAATGTCAACGCATGGTATGACCTGACTGGGAAGCACGGTCTACCCAAGCTGGGAAATCAAGTGCAGATAAAAAGCCACAAAATGGGGGTTAAGAAAGAGGACATATAAATTGTTACGTGCATATTACAGGTGGACCCTCAAAGGGGAACCCAAGAATTCCCTGGCCTGGAATGGAACAATCATTGTTACTAATCACAATTGTCACTATTGTAAACCATGCCCAGATCCTGTGATGTGAAGTGGCGAAAGGAGGGAACACGTGGACTCCTACACCCCAAGTTGTGGTAATAAGGCAGATAAGGACCTTAATGATCTACCCATAGAAAACTGTACCACTGATCCCACCCATGGAAATTTGGCAATGTCGGTATGTGGTGTACAGATTGGAAGGGGAGGGGTCCTAACCCGGTGGAGAATATCAGATTTATCAGGAAATAATGCATGGTATTCCTTAGGATATGTCGTGATCGATGACAGTGGGAAACACTGGCCATGTGGTTTGTCATGGAGGGTCCCCCAAGCCCCTCCAACTTATAATCCTCTAGTCTCTGGGGGTGTTTGGGTTATGGGATCCCACAATTAGGCTGTGATGTGTACTCATAATGGTCCCTGCACAGAGGAAGATCCCTGAACGTGAAGTTGTTACATACACAGTCTCCCCTGTGATGCTGGGTATGACAAGTTAACGCTTTGCAGAATGTAACCCTACAGGTAATATGGATGCCAAGCTGGAAGAATCCTGATCTAAGCTGGCTGCAGCCTGGAGCCGGAAAAACTTTCTGAAGGGCGAATGTGTGAGAGCCACTGTGGGAGCGGGTGCAACCAGCGTTTTTCAATGTGTCTTTCCAGTTCAGAACATGGGTGGTACACCCCCCAAAATGGTGGGTGGACTGGGTACACCCCAACTGCAGTTCATGCATAGAAGGGTTCAAGCAACAATTTAACTGGGAGGTGTCAAGGTTCCTTCCCCACTCTGAACTCTGGGGTACAGATGCAGGGCCGGCTCTAGGTTTTTTGCTGCCCCAAGCAAAAAAAATTTTGGCTGCCCCCCGTCCCAGCCCTGGGCTCCTCGCCGCACCCCCCTGCTGCCCCAGCCCTGGGCTCTCCCTACCCACACCCCCTGCTGCCCCAGCTCTGGGCTCCCTCATTCTCCCCCACCATTGCCCCCCACACACACCTCCTGCTGCCCCAGCCCTGGGCTCTCTTCCCCCCTCCCCTACCTGCACCCTCCTTCCGTCGCAGCCCTAGGTCACTGGTAACTCGCTCCCACGGCAGGTCATTCAGCAGGATTTTAG